CATGTTGGTTGGTACCTTGGCACTGACAAAGACACCAAAGAAGGTGTCATATCATATCATTCAAAAAAAGAATTGGCCCAAAAATTTTGAAACCCAGTGAAAACAAAAAAAGGGAAAAAAAAAAGGAAAAAAAAAAAAAAAAAAAAAACAGCAAACAGAGGTGACCTTACAAGTAAGGTTCCAAGTGTGTCCATCCAAAGTTGGTCTCGGCCTGCTCCAGATCCAGACCAGGCTCAAAATGAGCGAGCAAGTCTGTGAGAGCTCGGAAATTTTCCCATGCCTTTGAATTCTAGAAAAGACAAACGCGTCTTTTAAATGTGAACTCGTTATTTCTTCAATATTTCACAAATCTAAAACGCAGACTGGGCGTTGTCAAAAAAGAGAGCAAGTCATAACCAACCTGAAATACCCGCAGTGTGCAGATGATCATGGAGAAGAAGGAGAGGTAGAAAATCAGCAGCGGGATGAGGAAGATGAAGAACTCAATCGTGAGGTTGGAGATGATGAAGAAAAAGATGAGTGCATTAACGTGGTGAGTGGGGATGAGGGCGCTGAGCCACTGCATGCCGGCCCGCGACGCCCAGTCGATGAGATGCTCTTTTATCTCCAGCAGCGCGTACAGAGGGAACTTCAGCAGCTGAGAGAGACACACATGATGTAAGCATTTCTGTTTGTAGAGGGTTTATAAAGGCTCAAATTGACCAAAAAAACACGCTATATATATAAAATAAACTACTGGCGAGTTTAAATTCACAAATGTGTTGCACACAATTCTCATACAGATGCGTAAAACAAACTTGTAAATTGTGTAGGAATATTTGCGAGGAACACTCGCTTACCTTCTGATGAAGCGGCAGTTCATCTGGATTTTTCACTACCACATCATCATCGTCATCATCATCATCTGCTGCAGAGGCCATGATGGGTGACGGTGCAATACCCTGAGCATATTTCTTTGTCATCTCAACAAAGTCATCCAGACCCACGTGAGAACTGGCTGCAGTGAAAGGAAAAATAGAAAACCTATAGACTCACTTAAAAAAAAGTTACATTAACATAAACAATCCATAATGGGAAACCTTAAATAAATAATCATTCCATCATGCATGATTTAAAGGGGACCTATTATGTTTGAGTTGCTAGGTAACGGCGCAGTGCCCGTCAACTGTGACTTAATCAGGAGTTTTTTGAAATAGCCCTTTTTCCAGACACCAAAAAGCATGAATTTATCGCCAACATATTGATGTTTTTTTTTAGCGCATTTTATAAGCAGTGGAATTATAAATCCTGCAAAATGCAAATTTTACATAACAGTCCTCTTTACCAATGAAAATGAGTCATTACATGTTAAAATATACAAACCTTCTCTGGAGACCATCGTCTCCAGGACTCGCCTTTGTTTCTTAGCAGAGCTGTTGAGTGGGCCTGAGCAGATGGGTTTGCCTACAGCACAAAATGGAAGTAAATAATTGACAAAAAAGGCAGAGGAAAAAAAGCTTAAATTGTGTAAAAGTTTTCCTTTTTGCACCTGGTTCTGTGTGAACATGCTCCACGTTCTCCAGCAGCTCAGAAACCGCCACAGACTTCTTCTTCTCTGGGTTCAGCTTAAAGTACATGAGCAGAGCTGCTTTCCTGACTCCTCTCTCAAAACGTGACTCGGTGCATAACTTCTTAACCTCCTCAAAGTTCTCCAAAGTGATTCCTGAAGTACAGAAGCAACATAAAAAAACTTGTAGTAAAAAAAGTAGGATTTCTGCCATCACACTGAAAACAGAAGTAGCTTGATGGACTTTTTGGTCACCTTTCCTGGATTTTAAGCACTGCTGCAGCAGTTTGACAGCATCTCTGCGGCCCTGTTTAGCAGCTTGGATCAGCCATGTGACCGCTGTGCAGTTATTCAGCTCTTCATCGCTTTCTTCTGCCAAGGCCAGAAAGTAACGGCCCATCTGGAAACGCACATACACACGTTCAGAGTCTTAATCTTGCAAAACAAGCACAGCTGATCTGTCCGTAGTGGGGCTAAACTATAAAAATTATCATGACTCAGCTGAGCTGCTCTGTTTTCAACATATGGTCGACAATCTGGAGCATGTTCACTGACCTTTGTTTGTGCTTTAGCATCACCTGACTTTGCTCTCTCCTCCAAATCCTCAAAACGGACATCCTCCTCTGACTCATCTGGAAAAACACACACACACAAAAAAAAAAAAATCTGATGATTTTGATTACTTTGATTTAAGTTTTATGGGTCGTAGAATTATGATATCTGAGACGTGCGGTAAAAATGCCTATTTGTAATAATGCATAAAAAAGAGGTGTGTAAGAGAGTATTAATACTTTTCTGATGTCTTCCAGATTCGCTAACCGAAAACAAAGCAGTATAGTCTATTAGGGTCTTAAGTGACTGATCATGACAAATAAGCCTTGAAAAGGCTTTATAAAAATACACAAGTAAAATCTGAAATGTGTGGCGTGTGTATATTTTGATTTCCCACTGCTCTGGTCAGACGACACTAAAATTAAACTAAAAACCACTATCCCATGGCGAAAGACGGTTGTAGTAGCATCATCCTGTCTCCATGCTTTTCTTCATCAGTGATGGCAGTACTGGTAAGAGTTTAGACTAAGATACAATAACACAATATCCTGTGATTTGAGAATCTCACACAGCACTGTTCAAGACATCATCTGAAAATGGAAAAGTGTATGGCACAACTGCAAACGTACAAACACGAGGCTCTTCATCTACGCCAGACTGAGTAACAGGACTATTTGTTAGATAATAGCAGTTTAATGTTGGCATCAACAGATTCTCTGCTGAACCCAACAGATAATCTGTAGCACCTCTTTAAAAAAAAAAGATGATCACAGACACAAACCAACCAATCTAACTGAGCTCGAGCTATGTTGCAAATAGGAATGGGCAAAGGTAAATGTGCATAGTTGGTTGAAACATGAGGCAAAATACCTACATCACGACTCAGGCAAAAACCTTTGATATTTTCATTTGTAAAAACCAAAGCTTGAAAACCAGGCACCATTTCCTTCCACTTCATAGTTACAAACTACTTTGTGTGGCTTAGTCACACACGGACACAACAAAATACCCTAAAGTTTGTGGTTATAAAGTAACAAAAAGGGAAAAAGTTGAAGAAAAATTGAGTATGTAAAATAAAAACACTTAAAAGCTCCTTATTCTGTTCTCACAGTCCTCCTGATTCAGTAAATGATCATTAAGCTGCCTCCCAGGGGAGGTTAGACCTCAATAAACAAAAACATTTAGGTTAAAATAAAGGTTTTGTAAACCTTTTTGTGATTTAATACTTCCAATGGTTGTAGGTGATACTGCTGAGTGGATCGGATGTCTGTCTGGGTGTGCTAAAGAAAATACTGACGACATCCAGTGACACACATTAGATGTCCTCTTGTGCTGTCCTGGAACACTGCTCATACTTTACCGCTCTCTCTGAACCCTAAAATAACTATTAGTTTAATACAGTAAACAGCTGCTGCCTTGCTAAAGGTAACATCCAGTCTTAATTATTCAAAAGGTCAGTTTTAACTTTTCCTTGTTAGTTACATTGTAAGGCCTGTATCAATTTGATAGGCTCACACTTTTCGTAAAGTGATATTTTCACACTTTGTAGCAATACATCTTGATATCTTAAGTTGTTTTAAACAGTTAAAATATGCTACAAGCGATGTGAATAAGAGATCTTTGCCCAATATATGGCAACATGAGACATGGACAGCAGAGAAGAACTAAAGAGGGACCCTGGTGTTTCTCTGAAGGTCAGCAGAAAGGGAGCGGCTGCTTTGCATGTCTGTTTGTTATGGAAACCCAACGGCGTCTGGGAGTGTTTTCTGCACTGATTGCAGAAAAACTGCAAAGTGAAACCACGTTAGAAAGCTTGTGTTTGAGCTCAAAGGTCTGAGTTTTCCACCTGGTTCAGGTGAGACAGGCGATGGAGGCACCGCAGCAGCCGATGACCCATTAAGAAGACTTCCTGTTGATGCTGCTGCGTTGAGCTGCGATCTGCCCGGCTGCGAAAAGCTTCTGGTGGGCTGGCAGCGAGATGAAGTTGTCAGTGTGGAGAGGGAGGAAGAGCGAGAATGAAGCCGCGGAGACGTCTGAGGCGAGGCGGCGGAGGGAGGAGGTGACGGAGTGGTCGCAGGCGTCGGCATCGTGACTTTGTGCCTCTTCGGCTCAGGGGTGGAGGAGCTCGCCGATGAGCCGAGCGAGGAAGTTCCAGGCCTCATGGAGGTTGGAGATGAAGGGCTGAGCTTTGGTGTGGACGGGTTGCTTGGAGATGAAGGATCCATGGCTGAAAAAAAAAAAAGAAAACGAAAAGTCAACCTAAGACTTTATTATTTATAAGAGTTCATTGAGATGTCTGAGAGAGGAAGAGCCGGGTGACTGTCAGAAATGATTACATCACTAAACATATCAATAATTAAACCTTCAGAGATCAGACTTATGATCCATGTCTGATCTGACTTACATCATAATAAAAAATTAAACAAGATATTCAAACCCCTTGAACTTCTTCGTCTTAAAACCACAAACTTTAAAGTATTTTTATTAGGATTTTTGTGACTGACCAACACAAAGTAGTACACTGCAGCGATATTGGATTTTTATTTTTTGAATACAGATCTGTAATTTGCGAAATCTGGTGCAACCTAATGCAATCAAAAGTTACCTAAACAGTGTGATATTTAATCTCATTATAAATACAGCTGTTCTGGTCAATGTAGCTTTAAGCAAAGTAGCAGTCAGAGGCCCGTGGTTACCCTGGAGGTGCAGCAGAGATTCACAACTCAGGTGGGAACATCTGTTGAGTCAAAAACTGAACTTTTTGATCAACATGCAAAATGCCAAATTTGACGGAAAACTAATAATGGATACAATGATCCTGAACACAACATCGTCATGCTGACAGCATGATGCTTCTCTTTAGTAAGATTAAACTTCAGAAAAGGTGGGTGGAGCTAAATTCAGAGAAGAGGTCCACCTTCCAGCGTCTAAAATGCTAGTAAATACAAAGCCAGAGACACAATGAAGTGGTTTAAATTGGTAAAGACTTCATTTTGTGTTGGAATGTAGCAAGAATGTGAAAAGGTAAACCAATAGTGTCTACTTTTGAAAGGCGCTATATGTTTTAACTTTACATCCAGATAGTTAAAATATTTGTTTGCAGACTCCCAGATTAAGGTAAACAAGCTGAGGTCTGAGAAATATTGATGCTGTTCAAATCATTTGTCTATTTTCTGTTTGAGACAGTAAACCCAATCATGGTCTCAGTAGAGATGCGTAAATAAACCACTTTAGTGAATATGTTCACGTCGCACACCTAAACAATGATAAACAAGAAACATTGAAAAGGGACACGTTTCCAAAAGCACTTTCACTTTCTGAACCTGAACACACAATCATTTATTCCACTGTAACCAGCTAGCAAAACTATTTGTGCAGCAACACGCCGTAAATCATTTTGATTTTTACAATGATGCTTTGTGGGTTTTGAAATGCTAAGACAGCTGATCATAAGGTTTTCAAGCCTTTACTCTGTACCACATAGCACAGTTTAATTCAGCCAGAAATCTGTGATTGATTGGTAGCTTAGGTTGTCTAAGTTAAAACTTTTATCAGTGTTTGAGTCTCGTCGTGTTGTCTGTCTGTTTCAGACAACATCAAGCTAAATTGAATAGCTAGCCGGAGAAGGTGATATCCTTGAACTTATTGGGAAGCATTTGAGTCCAGCTGCAGCTGTGAGAACCGCCACTGTTATATAAGAATAACAGACGTTGCTGTGCCATTTAACCCATCACTACAGCAAGATAACCTAGCGCTTTGTAGCTAATAATGCTAACAATAATTATTGTGGCCCGCTCACCTTCCGGTTTATTTCAAAAATTAGTGAAGTATCTCTGGTGATTGTCTCGTGACCTGCTGTTTCAAGTCAGTCCTCCGTTTGGGTCCTGAGAAATAGACATGTCCTTTCCTTTGACAGTGGTCAAACTCCAGACACCAACACTGCGCAGGAAAGTCAGTCAGCTGCTACAGTTGGCGCTCACGCCTACATTTTGTTTTGCGGCTTCTGATTGGGTAAAACCACGAACTCGTGTGACTAAACACAACATGATTGGCTTAAATAGGGAGGAAGTAGGAAAATACTGTCAGGGACTTGCTTCGTTTAGCAGCCGGTGAAGAGAGCCGTGGACCTGGTCGGAAAGGCGGAGTTTCCAATATTACAAATGTATAAAGTTGATGGTGAATAGCCACAACATTCACCATCAGAGTCACAGTGAGTACACACTATAAATCCTTCAAAATCAAGTTTTTGCATATTAAATCAAGCTAAACAGATCGTATTGGCCCAGCTCTAACAACAACAAGAAAAAAAAGCTAAAGAAATTTAGCTTGTGTTGTTTTTTTATTTTTTTCATTATTTTCATTTGCGTTTTACTTGCCTGTTATAACATTTCAACACCAGCAGATGGCAGCACATTACATTTGGGGTTGTTTTCATTGTTTTATTTATAAACCTGATTAAAAAAAAATATTATTTTAAATTTAAACCAATGACAAATCATTTTGCTGTTTTCCCTTTTGAATAAATATTTCAGAAAACTGAAGAACTTTCTTTTTATGTTCTTTTTAAACTAATGTTTGGGTGTCATTCAACAACTTTTGGCCAGGGCTTAAGGGAACTTAGTATGCTAATATTTTGAGGAATTAGCTTACCTAGGAGCTAGCCAAAAGTGTCAATTAATGAAAAGGTGCTTACACCTAACAACAATGAGATCCAATGTTTAAAATGGGTATCCACATGAGGAACACACTATGCAGTCTGTGTTGCCACTACTTTTATCTGAATGATTTCTATATTGTAAAATGATACCACATGTGGTGAGAAAGCAGGGATGAAAGATTGTGATTAACCATGTGTCATAAAGAAGTACACAGTAAAACAGGAAAGAGCAGCAACCATTACAGGACATTAAAGGCAACAAGACCCAGGTTATCATACTGAGATCAAAGTTCAACTAAGAGAACAAGGGTAGAAATAACACAGTGGCCAAAGAAAAGAACATTAGGGTCTTAATTGCCACAGTGCAGCTGGGGAGAAGCAGTTAAAGAAATGCTGTGTGATTAGTAGATTAATACAATCCAGTTTAGAGGATAAGCAGCACCGTTTTACTGCTTTTAGTCTGACTATATTAGGAAATCAGTATTTAGTCTTTAGACTGGGTTTCGACACACATACACACTCACAGCTCAAGCACATGTTCTTCATAATGAGCTTATCATGAGTTCAAATCTTCTGAATATGTAAATCCCTTTGGTGGTTTGTCACCACCAAAGTGCCTCTGCTTGAGACAGATGTAGCCAGTTTTTTTTTTTTATCAAACAATCATTACTTTGAGTCGTTGCAGTCTGAAAATTGGAACAAGCTGCTTCTGTGACTTCAGTCTGCTTGTTGTTTCTCAGTATGACCTCAAGCAAGTCACAGCAGCTATGTTTTTGTATTAATTGGTCAGAAACAATGTTGTGAAGATTAAGAAACACTGACTTGTTCTCAGTCTCACTCATAAAGTACAATTGGTGCAAGAATTCTCACAGGATTCACATTTTGTTTCTGAATAAATATGTCAAATAAATGGGCAACTTCACATTCTTTGCTGGTAATTAATTTCTCTTTCTCAGCTCACAACCTTTTACATCTATTGGTCAGCTGGGCCTTAGTGGCAGTAGTAAAGAGCAAAAGTAATTCAAACAAAGAGTAAATTAATATTGCAAAGGTTGAGCTTTTGTTTAGTTTACTGTTCCTTGCAAAAATAATACCTCTTAAGCTTTTTCACATTTCGTCATATTTTAACTGCAAACTTCCATGTACTTGGTTGGAGCGTTTTGTGATATGCCAACACAAAGTAGCAGATAATAGTAAAGAAAAAGAAGGAAAATGTGGAAGAATGTGGTGTGCATATTGTTCAGGAACTTCTGAACCTGAAAATGTGCATCATGCTTCTAGAGACAACTTTTTTTTTTTTGCCTATTCCTGTTTGTGTTTGATATGTTAGTATTTCTGCACATCAAGTTTTTAAGTGTTGCCCAAAATTCTAAATTATATTTAGGTCTGAAATTTTGACTGGGTCTTTTTGACACATGAATGTGCTGTGATATAAGACAGATATTGGCTAGACATTGAATTGAAGAGCGGATTCACCCATCTTCTTTCTGGATCTGCTGAAATCTCCTCAGTGTGGGTGGCCTGAGATGTACCACAACTTGCCATACTGTCCACTAAGACACCTTCTTATTATGACTTGCTAAAATCGTATTGTAGATATTTTTTGCATATTTTAAACAATGACTGTGGGGGTCACAAATCAATACCACAAACTAAACAGCTGAAAAGATCAGATCCATGACATTACACACTGCCACATTCTTCTAAGTTAAGCATGTCTGTTTTCCATTATGTAAGTAATAATAATGAAACATTGGTTTGCCTCTAATGGTGCCTGTTGGCTCACACTTTTTTGCATTCAGGCAACATTAGAAATCTGTAATTATTCTGGGTGTGGGTAGAGGTTTATTTTTCAGTGCTTGTAAAGCATTAAAATTCTTGGGCTTTCAAATGGAATATATGAGTTTACTTCACCGATGCATAAGAATATAAATATCCACTATGTAACCTTGCTTGCTTTGACATTTATTTAGGTAACGTTTCAACAAATCACAGACTTGCAGGCTAGAGAAGCTGTCCTCTGATATTAGGAACCTAGATTTTGGGCACAGACATGGAACAACAGGCTCAGAAATTTATACTGACTAATAGTGGTGACTCATGCCCAGGAAAAGCCTAATTACCTTCATATGAATTAGTTACGTCACCATGGGCACTTGAGTTAAAGTTGTGAAAATAGGTCAGTATAGTGGACTGCCTCTGAAACACACTCCAACTGTTTGCACATGGGTTTCAACTAAATCTTGTATTGATGTAAGTCTCCAGCTCTTGCCTTGCGGAAAATTCTCGCTATAACAGGTCTAACAGCACAACCAATGGTATAGTAAGCTCACTGTGGAAAGTTCTCATCAGTATGTTAAAAATAAAAAGGTTATATCCAGTTAAAAGCTCTTTATACCCAAGCTTATCAAGGTACTGTGCCTTTTAAAAAGCCTGCCACAGCCTTTCACTTTTTACACATTTTATGATGTGATCAGTAGAGTTCAAAGTATTTGTTAGGATTTGACATGATAGAGCAACACCCTGTAGTGTATACTTGTAACATGGGAAGAAAATGATGGATGGATTTTCGTGTTGTTTTTTTTTTTTTACAAATGACAATCTGAAAAGTTAGCAAAGTATGCTTTTTTGCAATCACAGATGCAAGTCTTTTGTGGTATGCCTCCACCAGCTTCTCCTCTGAATCCAAGGTAAGATTGTATGCAAAGCGACCATGTTTTCAAGTTTTGCCACATGGTTTTTAATTGGATTTAGGTCTCAACTTTGTAAAAGCCGCATTGACGCACGAAAATGCTTTGTTCTAAACCCCATGGTTCTTAAACTGTAGTGGAAATCACTTGCACTTGGGCTACTTTTAGTGGTATGCAGAAGAAATATTGAAACATTGATATCTGTTTGGCAAACAGATGCAGATTGTCTCAAAATGTCTTTAATTTACCCATGTTGAAATTTGGGAATGACATAAAACCTAAATGAACTATTCCTTCCTTTTACAGATACAGAAAATACAGCCTTTATCTTCCCATCAACCACAAAATTTCTCTTTCACTGCTGAAAAATAGGCATTCATCAGCACAACGCTACCACAGCCATGTTTTACTGTAGGATGGTGTTTTCCATAAAATATTTTGTAGCGCTGCTTCATCTTTATTTGTAGTATATTAGACAGGGAATGGGTAGAGAGAGAGAGAAGCAAAGAAGACATGCTGCATAGGTCCCAAGGTCAGGAATCAAACCCCCATGGCTGCTTTGAGGAGTAATAGCTTCTGCATATGGGCACCCTGTGTACTGCTGCTACACCACGCACCACCCCAAGAGGGCTGGTGTTTTATGTGCAAGGTTACCCTTCCTCTCCACAGATAGTACTCTGAATGTGGGTCGAAAAGGTGAGTTTTGGCCTCTTCTGACAAGAGCACCTTCTTCCACATATTTTTATTTTTTATGTCTACCTAATAACTCATGGCAAACTTTAAACTGACAGACTGAACCTCTTACAGCAATGCTTGATAAAAGAGCTACATGTGAACTGGTGAGAATAGAAATACATAACATCAGCTATCTTTGTTTTGATTATTACCTTTTACTCTGACCCATTAACAGTCACTCATATTATTACCTTAAACACCTTATGTTCCTTTCTTTATTCCATAGTAAAAAAATCACAAGGTCTTATCACAAGATTATTGTGATGTCATATGGAGAATTTTCCTTTATCCTGATTCTATGACCTGCACTTCTTGTTGCTTGTTGGTTTTCTACAAAGTGCATTGCACAAGCCAACCTGACAAAAATGTCATGTTCCCTAAAACTGGGAGAGAAAAAGACACCCCAGGCTAAACAAATAACAGACATTGTGACATACATTTGCTCCCTGAGTCAATTTTTCACCAAAACAGACTAGGACCTACATTTACACAGCTCCCAATTGCTCCCAGCCTGTACCAACATTGCATTTTTCACTCCCTCTACGTGTCTGCCTTCTGGCCTTAGCAGAAAGTATTGTACAGATTGATATTCAATATTACCCCCATTCCTCTCTGCTTTATCACTCTGAATATATAAATAGTCCACACATTAAAATCTGTACATAAAGAGAGCAAATGAACACTACTGAAGGACATCTCAGTCCATGTGCTTTTCCTCTTGTGGCCTGTACTGCTTTGGAGCAATAAGCTACATATGCTGCAGCTACAGAGTGCTGTGCTGTTAGGATGTGTTTGTAGCTGCTCATGAATGGCAGACTGCCTGGCAAAGTGTGGAACAGCAGAGACAGGCAGCTGTGCGTAAGTAATGCATCCTCCCTGGAAACTGGGTCACAATCACACCACTTTTACACTGCCAGATGATTTCGTCTACTTTTATGATTCAACACGCTATATTGTCCTAATTTAAGGAATGCAGAAATATATCAGGGAATACAATGAATTCAGGAAGCTGTCTCATAGACAGCTAAAAGACAGTGCCAATCTAAAGGTTTGACAATTATAGAATGGAATATATAAAAGTCAAAATAAAAAGATACATTTTTTACAGACTCTTATTTGGGCAGATTCTCTCTTCATACACTTTCCTGCTTTCATGGTGTGAAATTGTTTAATAACAGAAAGCTTTAAGAAAGACATTTGTTTTTCTTTTTTATTGGCTAAATTCTGTATTTGTTAAATAATTGCCAATTGCACTTTACTAAACAAAATGTGTCCGTTTTTAAGGAGAAAGTATATGTCTTTCTAGTTTTTACAAAGGTGCATGGGGACTGTTTGAGTTAGACAATTTCACAAGAAAGGACTTTTAATTTAAAGAGGCATGAACTTAATTTTCTATGTTCTCTTCGTTGAAGAGCTACAACCAGAGAATCAGTTTTAAATAAACTCTCTCTTAGTTTCAGCCAGGTCATTTGAGAAATTTGAACAAATATAGTCTCTTTTAAAACATTTTTGCAAAATGACAAATATAGTGAATTGAACTAAACTTTACCGAACTGGGTAGCATTGCAATCTATAGTCAAATTTTAAAAATCCTCAATAAATACTTAAGATTTTTATGAAATATTTGGTATTATATTTAGCACCCATACTATCTTAAATAATTTCCTGATTTTTGGGTGAGTTCTAAGGTGTTTAAGAGTGCAGGACTGTTATAGTGATGAACACATAAAGGCATGTTTTCTATTCTTATAGTAGGGGTACTTTAAAATTTGGGGATCAGAGAAAGTTGGTGGTCATTAGGCCAAGTTTAAGAATGTATTGTTTTAAAACCAGTCAAGTTTATATTACTAAAATGTGTATTGTGAGAAAAAAAAAAAAAACTCACAAAGAGGTGCGTTTACACGTTTGTGTCCAAAGTAAAAGCATATTTCTGTTTAGAAAAGCTGGGTATTCATTGTGTTTTATATATCTTCAGTAACTGCCTGTGTGTGACCGCACATCCTGTACGTCCCCTCTCCCGCACCAGGCTGCGTGTTCACGCATGTACACGCGTTCAGTGTCATCCGTGAACACGCAGTCAGGTGTCGCACCTCTATCACGCTGCTGGCGACGCCCTCGTGGATAGGCTGCAGTCACTAACCGTGTTTTACTTATTTATTAATTTGTCGGCCTCGTGGAGATGTAATGTAAAGGAACGTGTGACGTAGCTCGAGGACTCCAACGTTTGTGGAGGAAAATAACGTCCAGCGCGCGAGGGGAGGAGAAGAAGCCAGGCGCTGCTACTGGCTGTGTGTCGCTGGAGGAGAGTGGCTGAAATACAGTTTTGGTCGTTGTGTTTACGTCTGGACATGAGTGGAATTTATGGAGAAGACGCGTTTGAGCGGAGTAAGCGGTACCGGGCATCTTAAAAGTGCATGAAGTGTTTTGATTCAGATCTCCGCACCGTAACCCACCCACCCCGGCCAGCCAACCAGCCAGCCAGTCTCCCTCCCTTCCTTCCTGGATGTAAAAGCAGCGACGCTTCACTATCATCCAGCCACTTGTGACCGGGCGCTTAGGACCTCCATTTCAGGTGAGTTTGTTCGCAATGTCATGCTAAATAACTTATGCCGATTAATTTGTGGAATGACAAGCGGCTAGCCGCTTCCGTTACCCGTGTTTGATGATGTAGCAACGGTGCAGTGGAGGACTTAACACACCAGATGTCTCATCTTGTCTGGGTTTTAGTTTCGGGAGTTTGGTGGCCTTTTTCTTCAGAAACCTAAGAGTTTTTTGACTCGTTAAAGAATGTGAATAATGCGGGGCTTTACTAAAATAGTCCACCAGTTAGCCAGAGAGGAAGCATGGAGCGCGGTGATAACGTTACCCGACGTGAGTAATTAACGTCTGTCTCCTTTTACAGATATTTATTATTTCATCCCACCTTTTTGGTGATAAAATAAGATTTATAAGAGAACGTGAATTGTGGTTTTAACCAGAATGTGGACCTCAGTTCTCTGTGGCTGGAGGATGCTGCGGCAGCCCCTCGCATGTCGCCGCGGGGTGTGGTTGGCAGGCAAGTCGGACAAGCACCGACTCCCCTACAGCAACCCACTGACCTTTAATCTGCTGTTTGACTTCCCATGAGGGGTCTGGCCACATCACATTAGGGCCACCTCTAACACATCTCAGTATAGTCCTTTACCAGCTTTCTCTCTTGCTGTCATATTAGGAGTTCTGGGGCTTTGTAAATCAACCCCGTTTGATCAGAAAGCATGATGTATCCTCTACTTTGAGTTATCTCATTTTTCTATCAAACACAATTTCCTGTTAATTATCAAGTAGTCGTTACCCCTCACACAGCCTTTTTATGCTGATTTCTTCTAGACATATTGTTTTTTCCAATTTATCCCTAACTCATAATCCCTTATTCACTGACAAACTGTATAGTGCCATAATAATCCTGTGAACTATTACTCTCATGTGTTTAGGACCCTCTCTTTGGAGCATCTCTCTCCACCTTCAGTGTAAAAAGTTTTGTCACTACTGCACTGGACTGTCCTGCAGGAGGTGTAATTATTATTGCAAAGATGCATGCAGATGTGCTCATGTATGCAAAAGCAAACCCTTGCATACACATTATGTACTTGCTGAAGCTACACCCAGTCTCTCCTGCAGTGAAAGAGAATAATCTCATCAGAGACTGGGTAATAAAATTAACATCCAAAGATGTCTAATTCATGTTTGGCTTCACCAGTGATTGGGGTCACCTAGTGACTGAGCTGTGGTACTTTTCAGTCTCCAACAATCAGCCCTACCATGGCCTAAGTCTCTAGACTGCTGACTGTGTATGTGTGGTCTGTGGAGGGATGTCTGGAGAGCCGCCAGACCTGTTCTGATACTCTTACAGTCTGCTGATGTTACTGCAGTGTGAAATGTGTGACAGTGTGTAACCCCCCCTATCCCCCCAACCCCTCCAGCTTGGTAGCAAATGTGTGGTATGAGTAAAAACATGTTCAGTGGAATCAGCTTATCCGTTTAATCTAAGTTAAAGTTTAACCCTAGCAGAGATGTGAAGTCTTTACTAGAGCTCATATTTGCCTGTGAGGCTGTTGGATATTTTTAATTTTTCATTGAAATTTAGTTAATGTTTGACAGTTGGTAGTTCTGTGTGGTCTTTCTGGCTTTGAGAAGAACCATCTGTTAATGTACAATGAGCATGTTTTCAGCCTACATTGGTTTGCCCAGAAAGTTAATCTGTCTAAATTCACAAACTAACTTTTAAAATGTGTTGTTACTTTAATTATTATTTTTGCTTCTTATTATAATAACACAAAAACACACACACATTGCTTCTTCCTGAGAGAATAAAGCTTGCAAAGTCAGAGGAGGCTCTGACTTTGCCTGGGAAGGAAAATGAGATCTGTTGGAGTTCAGGTGGTGCCTGTGAAGACCTTTCTAATTCTGGTACCATCAGCCATTTTTATGGCGTTGTTTGTTGGAGCAGTAGATGATCTAAAACTGAGAGGAAGTGGGTAGATCAGCTCATCAGAAAGGCCAGCTCGGTCCTAGGACGCCCCCTCGACCCATTGCAGTTGGTGGAAGACAGAAGGAATCTGGCTGAAACAACATTACTGATGGACAAAGTTTTCCACTCAAAGCTTGAAGCTGTTGCTCAACTGAGAGCTCCTTCAGTGATAGACTTCTGCATCCTAGGTGCACAAAGGAGCGTTATCGCAGCTCCTTCCTCCAAGCGGCTATAAAGCTTTACAACCGCCACAGTTTCCAACAATCTCAATCTCAAGTATTTATATCCCTACTATCTGCATTTCATTCATTTCAAATAACAGCTATGCTCTCATTTGTACATCCATGTTGTTTGCACAGCATGTTATTTGCTAAAAACAACAGCAAATAGTCTGTTGTTTTTAGTATACACATGACCATCCCATACATTTTTCTTTCTCTAAATTACAGTATTCAGATGCATGATATTTTTAATAAGTGTACAGTATTATTTTTGTCCTAACTTTTTATGTTTTTTTTTATTTTTTATTTTTTTTTATTTTATGTAAACTTCCATGAAAAAAATGACTTTTCTTTCCTGTATTAAATGAGATAAAATTATGCCCCCAAATTTCTAATCATATCTTAATTTTTTAGTTCAGGGACATATGCTTTGAGTTCAAAACTAATACCCTGGTCAAGAAACCTGCAAATGATTTTCTTGTTTATTTGTTATGATCCTTGGAATAAAACGGCAAGTGGCCACTAAGACCACCAAGAGAAATTTATAGCCGTTTCCACCAGGAAAAACTTCAATGGTTGATCTGTAATTATGATTAGCATTTTTTTTTATTATTGTTTTGTGCAGGGGTTGAAGAAAAACAGTCTAACAAAACAACTTAAGGTTTTAGAATGGACAAACTATCAATTAAGAGAATGATCAGCAGATTGAAACAGTTAGAAGCAATGTGATGAGATTGTAAATATCTGGCAAACATCCAGATATAGGGTTGGGGTAGAAATGTTGATGGGCATATGGTAGGCAGACAGACTTCTTTTCCCCCACAGGCCTCAGGTTTCACATGATCAACTGTTTCCAGCTGTTTAAAGTGGTTACTTTACATAGTGATGTTAAAAATATCAAACCTTGGCTTTTAGAGAAAAAAAACAGTTTATTTCTAAATAAAAAAAACAACAAATGTTTGAATATCCTGCGTTTACTGTAAGTTATTAAACTTAAAGTGTAAAAGCACTAAAACCCAGTGCTGCTTTATAATAAGGCAGAACTTTTTTTAATTTTTGTAAAACTTATGTTGTGTTTTTACACTTTATACTGCTAGATTTAAGTCAAGATTAACAGCATGAGTCTGTGGTACAAGCTGAAGCTGTATTTTTATTCATCTGCTTGCCATCCTATTTGCGTTAATTTGTCTGGAATCATTTATGTCTCAAACCTCAAGTTGTTCCAACATCACAGTCCGTAGGGGTTTATTATCACCTCCATAAGCGTGGCACTGCAGTTGCAATAAAACAGTTTAGCTGCAGTGATGTTGGTGGCACATTAATTGTTTTTAGCGAGTATGTTTTTTTTATTCATTAAATTTGGCCTGTTGCAAAATAATATCTGGTTGGTTTTGAATCATATTGACGCTGGTACAGCCTCAAAATGTGACTCTACATGAACAGAATGAGGTAATTCAAGGTTTTTGACCAAAGTTGACAGTTGTTTGCTTCTGTGAACATTAAAGGTGCTTGTTAGCTTCACAGTGCCCCTATAAAAAGTTCCAGTCTCCCGTATGACATTCCTGGTTTTCAATAAACTGTAAACTTTGAAAAGTAGTACCCACTTGCCATCTTGGCAGCATGCACCATAAAGTGCTGTAAAAAAAAAAAGTGTTTGCCCTCTTGCAGATTTCTTCTGTTTTTTTTTTCTATTTTATTTCACTTTAGTTATTTAGATTCTCATTTCATATACAATCTGTAGCAAAACCTGTATGTTCTTACAATTGATTGTGTCAGTCTTAGCAACAACACCTGATTCAAATATTGTAAAACCTGGCAGTGAGTCTTGTACATTGCTGTAAAAAAATTTTGGTTTCGTCTTTTTTAAATTAATTGTTTTAATTCAAGCCTCAGAGGCTTGGCTTTTAATGGATTAATGATGTGTTACAGGTTACATCAATGCATCTTTAATCAGAGTTGAACTTTGACTAGGCCACTCATAAACCTTCAGAATCTTTTTTTTTTTTTTTTTTTTTTTAGAAATTCAGAGGTGGACTTGCTGGTGTTCTCTGGGTCATTGTCCTGCTGCTTAACCTAAGTGTGTTTCAGCTTAAGGTCACCAAAGAATGGCTGGACTTCTTCAGGTTTTTCTGGTAGAGAGCAGAAGTCTTTGTTGCATCATCACACTTCTACCACCATCTTTGGCTGATGTTATTTTTCTGAAATTATGTTAGTCTTACATGATGTCAGCTTTCCACAGAAGATTGTATAAGAAGTCATCCAGATGTTTTTTTTTTTTGTCAAATATGAGATGAATTCTGGATTTTGTCGTGGAACTCACCCATGATATTTCAACCATGAATACTGAGCTTTACTGAAAGAAGTGAGCCCGGCAGCACTTTAGATATTTTACTGGGCCCTTTTGTGACTTCCTGGATGAGTCGTTGATGTGCTCGTTGTAATTTTATTAGACCAACGCTTCTGGCAATGTTCAGCACTGTTCCATCTGCTCTCCATTCACAGATAAAAGCTCTCACTGTCATTTTACTTAAGTCCCAAAACCTTCATAATCTTGAATCCAAACTTCTCTAAAACTGTAACATCTAAAGATGACACTGTAGTGTTGAAGATGAGGAAAGTGACATAGCTCTGTGTGTGTGTGTGTGTGTGTGAGAGAGAGTCTGGACATTTCAGTTCGCAAAAACTTAAACAGAAAGAAAGCATGGAAAAGTGTTTAATATGCATTTGGTTTCTGAGGAAGACTTTCATCTAGGCGCAAGTAGGAATTAAATTTACACTTCATCCGTTATGCCCCACAGCCATTTCTTCCCGGGTGCACCTGGTCTTTCCCAATGACACAGGCAAGCATAGACATGTGAGAAATGGTGGCAAGCTTATACACAGTACATACATGTGCAGTCATATTCCTTTTGCATGTGATTGCTATTCAGTTCAGTGCTACTGTAAATACAGCATTTGTTCTTAATGTGAATCAGCAGTGAGAGCTTTTGGTGCCAGTGTGAATGTGTGTCAGCTGTGTTTGTCCCTGGTTGGTCAGTTAAAGGCTGAGAGAAAGCATGTTTGTGTTCACTGCTCTCTCTGTGTGAATGATTTTTTTCTTTCCATGTTTGTGAATCGGAGTGAGATCCGTAACTTCGGCATGCTAGTAAAGCGGGTCGGAGTGTTGCAGCAAGCTTGGATGAAATAGGAGGACAGAGAGGAAGATGGGTAAGGCTGGTTGAGGGATGCGTTTATTTTCCTTTAAATTTTTATGTTCTCCGTTTCTCTTATTGATGAACCTTCGGATGTCTTTCGTTCCATCACTCTTCCATCTTTACCTTTTATCTCATGTGAGTGGCTTGCGTAAATTCAGCTTCCATGCTCGCTGCAATCAATTCACCTCCCTCAGCTGAGATCGACTGAAAGATGAAACGCAAATCATGTGTTTATGTAGGGATATTTCCCATATACAACCTCCATGCAATTTTTTTATCCATCAATAGATTCCTCCTTCCCATCATCCTTTGCTTTTGAGAAAATGAGAGTTTTTGACAGCAAGAGTTGCCTTGGTAACAATTTCTGCCATCTGTGTATGTTGTAAGGCAGCTTGGCAAATGTGTGTCGAAATAGATGGAAGCGTCTCGAGTCTAAATGCTTCAGCTCTCTCCTTGTTACATTATTTATTAAATAAGTCAGCAGAAAGACTCGAGGGTTACTGGGTTACAGACGATGTTGGAGCTGCCCACTTTCGGCTCAACTGATTTGTGTCAGTGCAGCAACACATGTATGACAAACTGTGCAGGAGAAATGGACGCCCTGGGCTGGAAACAAGGAGTGGATAAGTAATTAATTTAAATTACTTATTTGCTTAGGCTTATGTGCCTTGGTTACTTTTTCCCAGCTCAGACAAAGGCAAAATTAGGTAAATATTTTAAAAATCCATTTATTTCCTTCTAAAAATATCAGCAATCATGTTGTTAGCTTTCTTAGTCAAGTTGATGTCATGGTTTCTGAGAGCTCATTATGGTGGTAAAGCGAGAGGTGGAGACAAATCTTGTAGTGATGTTCTAATGGATTCAGTGGAGGATTGGATGTCAGTAGGGAGCTTCTGAATTCAGCTGGTTAAAAAAGGGAATGTTATATCATATTCTTAAAGCTTTATCAGGATATTACTCATGAAAGAATCATTTATTACACAGCTGATCTAGAGCAAATATGTTTTCTTTTTAGTCCGATTATTACATTACTGTGTTTATCTATTACACATAATCAAAATAAAAGTAAGGAAAAATATGTGCTTCTGGTATAGACCATGTGCCCTATTCTGAAATCGGTAACATAATATTTATCCTGGTTTTGTGTTTTGCCTACTTCAAATAAAATTGAGCAAATGAAATCCATTTTCAGTTTGGCAATAATAGCAAGGGTATTTTGACAAACCTGTGGTTCTAATTAATATTTTCTGTAATTAAATAATTCGAATAATAAATTAAAATCATTTCCAGGCCTGACTCATACATTGTTGACAGTGAGCACTGTTGCCTGAAATGATTTTCTCAGTTTGCCTTTCATAACATTGCACTTCCTTTGATGCAACATTTTGACAGTTTCACTTTGCAATGTCGGTGCTCACTATGTTGTGTAGCCACTGCAAAACCACATGAGACTGATATGGAAAAAGGATGAATGGAGCCAAGACGTCGAGCTGAAATGAAGCAAATTTACTCAGGGGTCCATTAAAGCAGACTGTTAAAAACCCCTTTTTTAGCGAAAAAACTTTCAGTTTGTAATTTACATGTTCTTTCTGCTGAAATCAGCTGGTAAGGTCCCAACATGAAAATTGGTGGATTGAAGTCGATCCAGTATCTCTGCTCTAGCTGGGGAAGTAGCCAAAAATGTGTAATCACCATTTGCTGTAGGGCTAAGACAAGTTTATTCTGATAAAGAATAGATTTGCGATGCAGCTAGTGATGCAAATCATGGGATGTCTGTAGAAAACATTTTTGTTTATTATAGTTTCTTTGTTCATTGAAAGAAGATTGTAGTGAGATTCTCCTGACAAGGGATTGCAATGCTTGAACAGACGCATTTTCATGCACTATGTAGCCTGTGAGTGCACTCTAGGGAGTGCAACAGACTGATGATAAATGACCCTTATGTAAAAAAAAATAAAAGAAAAGAAAGAAAAGTGAAACTGGTGACTGGGGAGAGAGTAAACATTCCCAAAATAGTCTGTTTTCCAAGGTGGTGGTGTGTCATTCGGCTCGGGCCCAGAGTGTTGTGTGGGATAGTTTTGTGTAACCCAGTTTTTAATACTGACTCAGAATTTTTTTTCTCTGTTTTCTCTCTGCTTGTATTTTTCTCTCTTAAACAGAAAGCTCCAACAGCTCCTGGTCACGATGTAGACGGTGATGTGGAGATGAAGATGAAGATGCAAGGATTTGCAGGGAGGAGGAGCAGTGACTGACACTCTCCTCCATTTCGCCACTTGGTGCACACTTATGTCTGTCCTGACAGGGCAGCTGGAGTGCTATGTCATCAACCACACCCCCATCGGCCCAACCCTCTAAAAAGGGTAGGAAGCCGGAGAAATCAGAGGTGATGGCTGATTCACCGCAGGCCACCAATGAGGAACTTAGGAGCAAACTGATGGACATTCAGATCGAACTGCAGCAGGAGCGGGGCAAGGTGAGGAGAAACAATGGACTAGGCCGACAAAAATAATTAATAATAATAATAATAATTGGAATGGGAGTCTATTACTCTGTCCCTACTCAATTCAGACTTTTATGATCATAATTTGATTCAAAATTGATTAAAAACAATTCATAGTAATTTCTGCTTCAATCTATCGGTATGCAAAGGATCCTCATGTCTTCTTTACAAGACAGAATGGCATTAGTGTCTTTTTCACATTTATAAAGTTTTAATCCATGGTAAGACGTAATTGTTACAGGTTGCATCACATAAGTTCCACTGTGGTCCATTAGGTAAAGGCACTGCTGACCTTTAGTCTTTTGGTAAAGCTGTGGCACAGCTATCTCAGTTAAAAACATATAGGAGGGTATTGCTTACCTTTGGCTCCGCTGTAGCTTGGCTCCGCACATTTTACATTTGTAAAATGCTTGATCCTCGTTCTGCAAACCTTGCACACAGTGAAGCTCATGCCAAGCTTGGTCCTCCAGCACATTCGATTAAAAAACAAAATTTTTGCCTTCAACGAAGTCAGGGCCAGTTGAATGTCTCCTTTCATTATTGTAGTTTCCTCTTTGTTGTGGTGCTTCCCGCTAATGCATGTGTTCTAGTTCCAGCTGCATTTGACGTCAGGCGTAATTATTAAATGGAGGCCGACAGACAACAGATTTGTTTAATTTTTAAACTTTTAATCACCCCCAATAATAAATAAACCTTTTTGGTCTGATAGTTAAGGAGATGTCTAGAGGAGACACCAGACCCCTAATGTCTCCTCAAAGTGGTGCTTTGCACAAAGTGAATTAAATAATGAGTTATGACCTTGAAAATCCTCCAATTTCCTCATCTCTGCACATTTGGTTGCTCCAACTTAATAATGATCCCAAACATGCACCCTAACTCGTTTTGGAATGGATAAAGCAGACTAACATTATGCTTCTGTAATAGTCTGATATCAACCCTGTAGAAAATAACTATCTTTGTAAGTTAAATTTGTGGCAGGAAACAAACAGATTTTTTAATTATCTCTTCCACCCAATTCTATGTTTACTGTAAAATTATACTATTACAAAAATTATTATAACCTTAAAGTTATTATGACATTCATGGATATAAATATATCAAAATTTCTGACAGACACAGTAAAGCTGGAAAAGAAGTTCTGGAAAGAATAATTGCACGGCTTCCTTCCATCCTTATATAGCACAATATATATTTAATTGATTCTCATGAAAATGGTGTTTTAACTCTTAGTAAAGCCAGCAGTATAATTATTGTAAACCACAACTCCAGTAAAGCTTTTAGTGGCTCTGTTAGTGAAGGCTTTCCCTCCTTAACACTAACAAGAGCACATTGTCCACAGATGAGTCAGGGTTGTGCCATGAAGGACAGGCACTGAGGCAGCACATTTCCATTCAGGCTCTGATAGTGTACTGTGCAGATAAAAACATTTTTTTGTCAAAAGGGGTAATTATATGATTGGATTTGCTTAAAGCAATAGAAGTATAGAAGTTAAATTCTTTATAAAAATCCTTTCCAGAAATTTCTGGATGCAGAAGCCTGTTTTTAAATACAACAATCTGAAGCATATTGACAAGTGGTGATATACAGGTTAATTAATTCAGCTTTTTTTGTGATCTATGTTCAACCTGCAGAAATATCACTTAATCAACCAACTAAACCGGATTCAACTGGCATAATTGAACAACTTAATACTTGCTGTTAAAAATCTCATTCTCTTAGGCTATTAATTGCATATATTGCATAGGTTATAAATTCTTACCTTTCATAAACTCATTGTAATGAGTAGTTTGGTAGTCAGTGATGTTCAGGTAAACCAAAAACCCTTTAGGTTGAATCTGAATTCATTGAAGCCCCTGAACATCCTGAGCACGTATTTACAGCTTTGTTTATGATCCAACCTGGTTTTCAATGTCAAGTTCTGCTAACAATAACAAAAGAAAGTTCCAAAGGAAAGATGTCTTTCACTTGCAGGATCTCTCCCAGGAGGAAGAACTGCTTCTGTGTAACTGTATCCTCCTACTGACATGCACACTCCCTTCATGATCTGTTTTTATCCTTCATTGTTTGATTTGGACAATGTCCATAACATCACATGACTTTTGTTTGTTCAGGGCATTTGGCACAAATGAAAACTATGTTGTTTAATTAAAGACGAAAAACAACTGAATACATATACATGCTTATATTCCATACATGCATTTCACTCTTACAGCAGGCATATTTAGGACAGGCTTTCACTTATGGCAATTGAACCGTTTCAATGTTTGGGCAGCAATAGCATTGTTTTTGGTGTCCACTTTCTCACAGGTGTGTAAGCTCCGAGAGCGTCTGCAGGAGCAGCGACAGGCCCGGGAGCTTGAACAACACAAACACGCTGTAGCACTCACTGACCTGCGTGCCAAACTCCACGAAGAAAAGCTACGCGAAATATCGTCTGCTCGCGAGGCTCTAGGGCGGCAGCATGAAACTGAGCTAACCCGGGTGATCAAGATCCGGGACACAGAGGTGCAGAGGCTGCAGGGACTTGTAAATGCACTGAGAGATGGAGCAGCTGACAAGCTTAAAAACGCCCTTCTCGGAGAGGCTCGGGAGGAGGCGAGGAGAGCTTTTGATGGGGAGAGGCTAAAGCTTCAGCAGGAGGTGGGTTCATTCATGTGGGTGTGACAGAGAACTTAATAATTTAATTTTCCTTCACAGTTTGTATTTCTTTGGTTTTGGTGTTTTTGTACTGACCACCAGTCAATTTTTAAATGCTTTTGCGATGTTAAGTGCCCGCTTTTAAGCTTCTATAATCTACTCATCACCTGCTGTAATTCAGTGTGACTCCAATAAGCAAGCCTTATGTTATGATCAGAGGTGAACATTTGTTATATAGAAAGAATTTGACTAAATGGGAATCAGGACCACAAGTATTAGGAACAGAGTGCTATGTAAAGTCTGTACAAAATATCTAATTTTACTGCAGATTTTTATCATTTTTTCCTGATAATTTGTCAATATATTTAACTAATATACTTAAACTGATACACAGCTCTCATTCACATGGATGTCACATTTTCTATGTGCCATAAAGACCTTGCGCAGGTCTATTGTGGGGATACGAATTATTTGTTTTCCAGAGTTTTCATTATTTGTTCATTCTATGTGGTTTTTGAAATCATAAATGCCCAACAGATTTTGTGTAGCTTTTATGACTTTGTTCATTTCAGTAATTATTAAGTTGCATGTACTGGGAATAAATGTGTGCGGGTGTGTCAACATTCTTGTGATACTTCAGACACCTTTGTAAATTTGTTGCTGAAAAACAGGAAGCAAGTTGGAAAGCATGCCAAGCTATTGTTCTACTTTGTGTTTTCTAAACAAACAGAGCATTAAAAATTACAGCATTTTAATGGGATGACAAGTATTTATAAATATATGAACCTCTGTCTGGGTTGTTTATACTTTCACATTTTATTAATATTAATTTATGTGTGCGGGTCTTTGTGTTTTAGATTCAGGAGCAAAAAACAGCCAGGAAGCAGGCTGAGGAGGCGTTGGCAAATGCTCTGCAAGCTGATAAAGCCAAAGCAGCTGATCTACGCACAGCCTACCAACAACACCAGGATGAAGTTCATCGCATTAAACGGGACTGCGAGAAAGACATTCGCAGGCTGGTAAGACCGTGTTAAAGAGGAATAACATATAGACTCAATGTGTCCAAGTTATGTAAATATTCTGAAAATTCCTAGTAAATCCAAAATTAGAAACAGTTTAAATAATTAACAATAAATGTCCTTGTTATTTTGCTTCACATTAGCTTTGACCTTAGGCGCCGTATGGGATCTTAGAGCTTGCAGGGCTTGTCCATAGAGCCAGATTACCATTCATGTTTACATGGACATGTTTGCTCATTGAGAAATAACAGTTAAGCTAACCTGCATGTATTTGAACTAAGGGAGGAACCTGGATACAAAACAAGAACACGCAAACGTTTTTCACACTAAAAGATAAGCAATCTTATGGCTGTCTACATTTACTGTTACACTTAGGAATCCATGTTATCATTGCTACAAGTGATAGCATTTGTAGGAGAACATTTGTCCTTCTACAAATGTTGCAGAGCATTTGCACAGCAGCAATCTTTGCTCTGCACCAAAGATTGTGAAGTTTAAACCAATTTTCCATATTTTTGTTTGGAAAAACAAAGCACTTTGTCATAAATAATGACATTTTGTTTTGAAATTAACAAAACAAATCTATCATTCCTAATTCTTAAAGGATTACACCATTAATTTTCAGTTATTAAGATCAAAATCAAGCTGTATCATCAAAACTGTAATTTATGAGAATTAGATACTGCGCTATGAATAAAAGAGTATTAAACAGCCATATGATTAAAATAAAGCCAAAAGCTCTAGCATCAATACTTATATCCTGATTCCTGTAGTCGTTACACTCATAATAAGTAGCATCTGCACTTTTATTGTCCAGCCCAGTCCTGAGTGTATTTGAATATCATCGAGAGTCGTCTCAAACTGACATGTTCTGCTGATGAAGCTCAGCTCCAGCTTAGAGCTTAACTTTTGAATGTTGGCTGAAGGTTGGAGACCAATTGTCTGCTGTGAGTTTATATTCACCATGCTGCTGTTATCTCCAAGAGCAGACTCCTGTACACCTGTGCCAGTTACTCATTAACAACCCTAAATGCTGCAGGACTATCATAACAGTCATCATTGTTAATATAGGAATGTTTGAGCAACAATAAAGGAAAGCAGAATGACTCATTGTTGATGAACACAGGAAACACTGGTGTTAAAGAACAAACTACGGAGGGAAGTCAGACATTTCACAATGCCAGACACAAACAAGGCTCTAAAATTAGTCAAAGATAAAGCAAAAGGGTTTGTGGTCTCTTATTTTGCTACTTGTGTTTAGAATGGTCAGTGTGCATTTTATGTAAAAGTTAGTTATTTCTTTATGTAAAAGAAGATGCAAGGTGGTCTGGGTGAATCAGTTGTGCTTTTATTGAACTGCTGGCCAGAAATGGCCAGTAGTGCCAAAACATAAAAAAAAGCATTAACAAGTCCTAAACAAAACTTTCTGAAACAAAGTGATTTTTTTAAATTCACTTTCTAAGTGTTTTGTGTCCCTGTTCAACACTTTTCATAGATGGATGAGTTAAAGGCAAAGGACCGGGTGGTGTGTGCTCTGGAGAGGGAGTTGGGGCTGCAGGCTGGCTATGCCCAGAAGCTCCAGCTTCAAAAGGAAGCCCTGGATGAGCAGCTGGGACAGGTACGAGAGGCTGAGAAGTACAACCACGGCAGCCCCAAGCGAGAGGTGGTGCCTGGCCTGGGGGAAAATCCAGACCTGCTTAATAACCAGGTAGGACTGCAAGGACACACAGATGAAACCATATTCATGCACAAGCATTGTCAGCACAGGTTTTCATGTATTGTGGTACATTAGGAAGAACCATTGAATCACTAAACATTTTAAACCTTTCTTAGTCATTATATTACCTTCTTTCAGTACATTATAGGAATCAGCACATCTATGAGATGAATGTTTTTATCATCTAGGTGCAAAGTGTTTTTACGTATTGACAGAGTTGTCCCACCGTTCAAAGTTAATCCATGGTGAAAACATTTTGGCCGTTTAAAATGTCAACTCGTCTTTCATCCTATCCTCCCTCCTGTCCACCTCCATTACCTGCTGGCCTGCATGTGTCCCCTTTTTCAGTTGTTGTCTTCCTTTTCCTCCCCTCTCCCTCCTGCTCAACAGGAGGTGGACGAGCGGGACATGAGGAGATTCCAGCTGAAGATTGCAGAGCTCCACTCAGTCATTAGGAAGCTGGAGGACAGAAATGCACTTCTGGCAGATGAGAGGAATGAACTAGTGAGAAACACTCTTGCAGTTATAAGGAAACACTTTCTTTATACATATTGTTTTGATAAGTTCCATAAATATACATGCATAAGAATGTGTAAGCAAAAATTTGATTTTTGACATCTGTATTAAAACATTTAGCTTTATTTTTAATCCTCCTGAACATGTTGGAATTCTGAGTCAGCAGAGGTCAAGACTTAAGACTGCAGTTTCCCCACCCTGTTTCCTTCCTCTGTTCAGCTGAAGCGGGTGCGAGAGGCAGAGAGCCAAATGAAGCCCATGTTTGAGAAGAATAAACGGCTGTCCAAGAAGAACGATGACCTCTTACAAACGCTACAGCGAATGGAGGAGAAACTCAAGAACTTGAGTCGAGAGAATGCAGAGATGGTGAGATGACACCGTCTGAATTTTCTCACTTTTCTTCTTACTAGCTGAAGTTCCAAATCATTGAATTTAGGTGTTCTGGTTACTTCCATTGCCTCATATTCATAAAATCCAGCATCTATTCACGCAAACTGCTTTCACAAACACTAGTGAAAAACCAGGTGCTCTCAGTAGCTCAGTGGATTCCAGCATTGTACCGGGACAATGTGCAGTATACCCAGTTGGGGAACTTACGACTAAATATTTCAGTCATCTTTAAGCGGTGTTACAATAAAGTGGAAGTGTTGGAAACAACAGCAACTCAGTCATTAAGTTCTAAATAAAATCACAGCGGTCAGCAGAGTCCACTGAGGTCTGTGGCTTTCTGCAGAGTTAGCTTCGACAGACCTCCAAACTTCACTTGGCCTTCTAATTAGCTCATAAACGGTGTGTAAGAGCATCATGATACAGGTTTTCATTGTTGGGCTGCGTCCAATCCTCGCATCATTAAGTATAATGCACAACTTTTGACGCAGTGGAGTGAAACATGCAATATTCTACTCTTTAATTCTTATTTCTGGTCCTGGATTGTAACTGACAGCATGCTTTAAAATATCTTATTTTATATTTTTTATGACAGATTTATCATCCCTTTTTGAGATAATTCCTATGAACACAGTAAAAAAGTGACAAAACATTGTTTTTAAAAATTTATCAATTGTTTTGGGAGTACATCTGTCACTGCCTATAGTCAGAATCTCACAACGACAACAGCTGCTCTAAAAATAAAACTTAACCCTTACTAAATGAGCTACTTCTCTAAACCACTCTAAGCAGTGTAATTATACTGTCAGCTATGGGGGTTTGTTAATATCATCAGTCAGAGTTTAATGTATGTTATGACAATAATCTCAATTCTTGTGCATTTTTCACTGCTATTAGTCTAATGTCCAGGAGCTTGCCTCACTTTTCTGTTTTTCAGTTCCTCATTCAGTCTGTGATCATTATCAGAGCTCTTTTCTGCCACTCAATGAAATGCCATTGTGAGCCCTAAGCAATGACGTCACATGGTTAAGCTGTGTGATTGTATTAAGATTTTTTTTGTCCAGTAGGAAACATGACCTCTAGTGGCAGTTAAAGGAAGAGCGTAAAACTTAATTTTTTGGCTCTCGATTCTGTCCCCAGAAGGAAAAGGCTTCTTCCTCTCGACCACCCCCACAGCACCAGACCACTCAGCCTCAGTTAAAGCGACCGAGTTCCTTGACAGACCTTAGTCACGCCCACGAGGAACAGGAAGTGGAGTTCCTCAAGCTGCAGGTTGCTGAGCAACGTGGCATTATTGAAGAGCTAACACAGGTTATTTCTTTTCATTTTTTTTAATATATAGTTAAAATGAACTGGTTTAGTAATACATTTCTTTATTTTTATATATAAAGTGCACATGTGGCAACTTTTTGTGATGCACTTTTAATGTTTTTTCCATCTGGATGCATTCATTCCATCCATATTTTTAGAGGCGCCATGTAAAACGTACAGTGCATATCTGTTAACTTTAATTCAATTTGACCCACTTACCCATATTAGAGAGTAATGGGCCGCACTCCCAAACCAGTTAGTGTTATGTGCCCTGACTGAAATGTGACTTGTTTTTACTCTATCAGCAGTGAATGTCTCTGTTTTTAAAGGTTGCTCTGTTCTTTAAGTATCTTTCAGCACGAAAAGTCAAACGGCTATTTTCATTTCACTGCCCTGTAGTTTGGGGAACTTTTACTGAATACTTTTTTATTATGTATTGTATACTTATGAGTGGCCATTCTTTGATTTATATCCAGTGTTGTCTGAGTATGGAGTCAGATTTTGACAAATTTTTTGGTGTCTTTTTTTTTTTTTTTTTTTTTTTTTCAGGAACGTGACCGATTGGTGATGAGCAAGAAAAACAGACGGAAAGCAACCAAACTGCCCAAAGTATGTTTTAATATTGCTTTACCACAGCTGTAAGCCAACACTGTGTCACTAAGCAACTATCCTATCTGTGGCTGACAGATCCTTAAGTATTTCCTAAGTTAGTACTCGGTGTGTGTTTCTGACTAATTAGGCTCCAGGGACAATAGAAACAACATAAGGACACACTCCTGCTTGAATAATCTTTACAGCTGAATAAAAAATATTTTAGTCTTTTTTTAGTTTCTATTTATTTATTGCTGTTTAGGAAATCAAGTATGCTTTTCTTTTCAAGGAGAAACCAGGTAGCAAGGTTTTTTTGATTTAGGTGAAGCTGTTGGAAAATTTAATTGCTTTGACGTGCGTGCATATGACTGGGCTTGTTTGAACTAATTTGTCAAGGGACATTTCAAAGTCACAGATGCTGCTGGGAGGAGGAGTCTCCTGCTGCATTGTGTTTTCTCCATCTCTCCTCACAGATAGTTTTTTAGCTTGAACAACTAGACAAGAGTTGGACACAGTCGGTTGGATTTTTAGACAGAAACTTGGACCACTGTGCAAACTTTTAGGAATATAGAACACATGCCTAATACTCCAGGCGAGGGAGAAAAGCCCAGCTGCTGACTTTTTGCTTTTTTGGAGTGGTTTGACAGTAGCCAGAAGCTTCATTGTCTGTTTTTCCATTTTGCGTGGGAGTGTGAGAAAAGCAGATTTAATCTTTCTAACATCACTGAAGCCTTGGATGGTATTCAGAATAGCTGCTGTAGTCCAGAAAATAACAGATGACTTCTGAGGACATTTCGTTTTCCATTTAGTGTTGGTACTGTCGTTTGGGATTATGACAGAATACATCCTTCTCATCCTCTACTTCTCCTCCTTCATTTGTCTCTGTGCCTTAGTTTGCCTTTATTTTTCTGGTTGCCAGGAGATGACTTATAAACATGATGGTAAGGACAGAAGTTATGCAAATAAGGATTCAGTTTGTCTGATTGGCTAGAAATTATAGTATTGAATGGACAACATGTGAATGAATGGATAGAAGTTGCTAACAAAAACACATGTTTTGAGAGATTTATTCACAATATGGATTCTTTCTCATATTTTTCCCACAGAGGCATGTTGTGGAGACATATTTTGGATTTGATGAGGAATCGATAGACTCTGAGACCTCATCACTTATGTCTTTTAACACTGACCTGACTGATCGCACACCTGCCACACCTGAGGAAGATTTAGAAGAGGTATTTCTTTGTCTGCCTTAAAGTATTGTGCTCTTCAATTATAGCAACTGAAATATTGGCAATGATTCAGTTTTGGATTCTCATGGTATATTCTTAATAAAAGTACCACGGTTTCATGGTGTCACAGTATTAATGCAAAAATCTAAATGGATAAAAAAAAAATAGCCCTATATGAAGGCTTTTGTGTAGAACACAAAAGCAAAAGAAATTCCGATTGCTGCTACGGTTTTCCTGCAATAGCCGCATACAATAGCAATAGCAATTACAGTTTTAGTTTTGTCTGAATTTTTTTCACTCAGTCTGAAGCAAAAATGTGGAATAAACACTTGATAAACTTAAGAGTTTTCAGATTTTTTTTTGTTTGTTTATTATTTCACAGAGTATTACACTTGTGCATGAAACTTGTTCAGCTTTCTTTAAAGCTATAATTTGCTGATACAAGTTGGTTAGTTATTCTGGTCAGACGTAGCCTTTGATCTGTTAGCTTAATTGATGAGAATCCTGCCTGAAGTTTAAAGCTCTTTATCAGAGTAATAGATGTTTCTCCTTACGTTTTTGCATCGTTTCTGTGCTTTTCAAGGTGAGAAATATTACTAAACAGGTGAATCTGCTTGTAAGTTTCTATCAACATTTTGTCAGCCAGCTGATTAGCAGTGCACAGCAATATGTGGGGGATTGTTGCCTTACTCTTTTTCTGGCATCTGATTAAAAGCATAAATATTGAAAGAATGTTTTAGTAGTTTTAAACATTGGTTCACCTTGATAACTCGTGAATGCCTTTCAAGAAAAAGACATTTAAAATTTGTAAAGTGTGTTTATTTGACCCTTTTCATTTTTTTTTGACAGACTGTTTCCCGTGAGGAGTCAGAGCTCCGTTTCCGTCAGCTCACCAGAGAGTATCAGGCTCTGCAGCGAGCTTATGCTCTCTTGCAGGAGCAGAGTGGGGGAACTTTAGATGCTGAAAGGGAGGCCAGAGTATGTATCTGCTTTCCCCCCCGCCTTTACTATCTTGATTTGTGGACATAAACAAAACTTTTAAATTCTGCATATTCTCCCACAGACACGTGAGCAGCTCCAGATGGAGCTCAGCAGTTGCCAGGCAAAGATTGTAGACCTGGAGAAGGCCCTGGCAGAGAGTGGACAGGTAATAAAGACGGGGGATGGGGACAGGAACCTGGTGGCCCTGCTCTTGCTGGCCCTCCTGCATGTCTGTTTGGCTGCTCTGCTGCTGGGATGGCGTTATGTTGACCAGGTGTTCCGCAGAATCCTGTGATAACACCTCCTGCATGTTCTCAGCTCTGTGACCGCATGCTCTGCTTCGCCCTCTGTTCCTGCCGTTTGTGGTAAATTGACTTGAATCAGTTTTGAATTGATGAGGATCTCAGTGTCATAATGTCCTGGTTCGCATGTTTGTGAAACAATCATGATAGAAGAAAATATATAACAGTGCACCATAAAAACAAAAAAGCAAGATGTCTAAATAAAGTTCATTGTAAAAAAAAAAAAAAAAACGTTACTTGTTTTTCTGCATGTTGGATGTTCCAACATGGCTTGATGCAGCTCTGTTCCTCCGATTTGCTTCTCCGCTGTATTTCCTCCCAGATTGCCTTCTGTTTCTCTCTTACTGTGAACTCTTGTTGGATGCAGCTCTATTTTCTGTTTTCACAAAAGTGGGTTTTCTTCACCTGGATCAATAAACTGGTGTTACTCATACTCTGCTCCTGTCTTTTTGTTGCATTTGCATGTGCCACTCAGATTTATCTGCGATGGCAATGAGCATAATGTTTTGGTTTTGTTGGGGATGTTTGCTGACATCTTCGTTCATTACACAGAGTCACTGGGGACATTTTAATCCCCTGCTGCCAAGTCCATTCTTGCTGATGTTGTGTTTGGTTGTTATGGCAGGATTCAAAGTGGGTGGAGGAGAAGCAATACTTGATCAGGACCAACCAGGATCTGCACGAGAAGGTAGATTATGTAGCCTACAATCACTTATCTCAGCATAAGCTGTTCAGTTGATGATTCTTTTACTGAGGATTATTCTTCAGCTTTGATGCAGTAAATTTCAGTTTGAGTAGCAAAACAAACACTATACTGTACTTGACTTTACTTTAGGAAGATTAGCTCTGTTTTTTTTTTTTTTTTTTAGAAATCCTTTCCTTTCTAAGTAAAAACAGCTTAAGACCTCACTGGATCAAATAGGAACTGTAATTAAGCTCTCAAAGCAAAGTAATTAAAATGGCAAAGAACTGCAATAAATAGAATATCATGATGGTGCTCAGTTGTTTTTTTATTTTTTATTTTACCACAAATATTCCCCAGATTCAACTAAGTAGTAAAATGTAAACAAGTACTTTTGAGTATGAAATGTCTAAATATGAGCTGCTCTTTCAGCATGGCAAAAAAGTAAGATGATTTTATTTTTGATGAATAAAAAGCCTAAGTATTCAGAATGAAGGAATGATGAGACTGAAGTGAAAAACAAAATCAGACATCGGTTAAGTCGTGCAACATAATGTTTTAAAAGTAGTAACGGAGACTACCTTACACAAATACATGCACAGACAAGCAGTTACACAATCACTGCTTCAGACTGCAGGACAACAATTTTGAGGAAAACAGTTGAAACTTTTTTTTTTTTAACTTTTGATTAAAAGTAAAAGAACATATATAAATGGAATTCATAAAAAATACGTGGATGAAAATCATTGCAACAGATTACTCCAGTCGACATCATCAATCGCATCAACTAGTTGTGGCCTCTCTAATATTCCCCTTCTTACCATCTTTAAATTTGGTTTAACTTTTAAACTATTTATGCTGAGAAGTTAAAATTTTGTTATGAAAACCTTGCTCTGTAACATTTCTGAAACTTTGTGTCTTTAGATTTGTGCACTGCAGCAGGCTGAGTCTCGGCTGCAGGCTGAAGTTCAGGACGCCAGGGACCAAAATGAGCTGCTTGAATTCAGGGTGCTCGAACTGGAAGTAAGAGACTGTCCCTCCATCAAACTGTCAGCGACAGGCGAAAATAACAATCTCAGTTCCAGGCGCAAAACATACATACAGTGACCAATCAGAGACGCATGCATAACCTTTATAGATGGTGTTCCTCACTGTTCCTTATTGTATGCTCCTGTGTTCTCCTGTTCTTTTTTTGCATGGCAGCTGTTTGCATACCCATCCTCTCAACTGGATTCGTTTTTGTCCTTGTTTTATGAACAAATATGTGAAGATAAATATTATTTTCTAAGAAATAAAAGATATTTAAGTTCACCATCCATTTCAAACTTTGAGTTTGTCATTTTTGTGTGTGCATGCTTCTATTCTAAATTAAACATTTTAAAAGGTAAAACTTGTATTTTAACTATAAAAGGATGATGGCGACACCAGAATGATTTTGTATTTTGTAAGGATTGAGTAAGTCTGATATTTGTCTGTTGAGGTAAATATAATTGCATCACTATATTTTATCAAATTATTTTTGTTTTTGTGCAGCAGTTCTACCTGGCAGTAGGAAAGAAATGTCAGATCACATTTTTAGTTTTCAGTTTTTAGCATGCATCCCTGTTGATTTGTTTGAGTTCACCTCCATCGTTTTGGCAGATCCTGACCAGTAGTTTCACTGTCATGTAAGTAAATCCTCATTCCTTTCCATCTCACTGCATTCTCTTTTCACATTGAATATTGTCGATTTTATCCATTTAATTATGCAACACAGTCAGTGTCTTTACAAATCATTACTGCATGGCAATTTTTAAAAATATATATTTAGTTTTGAGATGGTATCTGTTTTTACAAGGAGAGGGAACGCAGATCTCCTGCATTCAATCTCCACATGTCGGCATTCCCTGAGAATAGCAACAGTGCCCTGCAGACCTACTGTCACCAGGAAGGAGTGAAGGTAACTTGCACATTTAAAAAGTTTTTTTTTTTTTACATTCAATCCTATTGTTAGGCTGTTCTAAATTTCTGCATTTTCACTCTGTGCAGGATGTAATCATTCCCGAGTTGATGAAAAAGCTGGATATTCTGGGAGACAATGGAGTTAGTGTGATCATTATTGTATTTTTAAAGCTAGCATTAATGATCAGTCTGCATATTTCTCATAAATCTTCCTTTAAATTTTTGCAGAACCTCAGAAATGAGGAGCAGGTGGCAGTGATCCAGGCTGGCACCGTGATCTCGCTCTGTGAAAAGGTGAATCAAAGCCTTGCTGACTTGTTGCGTTTTTGGTGACACTCTGTGGACAGTTGCGGTACTGCAACTGTAACATTAACTTGCTGATTAACCTATGAAAAAAAATATTTAAGTTTAATAATCGCCTTTGTCTTTTGATGCACAGTGGTTGAAGCAGGTAGACAGCACTGAGGCAGCACTGACTCAGAAGATGATTGACCTTGAAAACGACAAAGTATGAAACCAGTTCAGACTTCTGTTGTTTTTCAACCGTTACTCATTTTATAATTGAAGGCAATAACTATTACATTATCTTTCTAGAGTGATAAAAATTCATAAAAGCTAACTTACCATTAGTAATTTTTTTTCATATGCATATTGACTTTGAGTATTACATGCAGGATGCTAATTATTTTGAGTAATTCTGTCTTGTTGCAGGAGTTGTTCAGTAAGCAGAAGGGATTCCTTGAAGAGGAGCTGGATTACAGGAAGCAAGCACTGGATCAGGCTTACATGGTACGAGTCCAGTAGGTGTATCATGCCGTTTTGGTTACACCTGCAGTAGTGATACCTTTATTAGTAAATTAAATTAAAAACTTGGATAATTTGATCAAAGCTGTGTGAAGAGCATCATTGCTCTATAAACTGGTTAAAACATGTAAGGGCACAACATTGTCATTTCAGCATGTAACATAAACATTGAGGAGCCCATTAATTGTCATGAATGCAACATGTTTCATAGAAATAACATTTCTCACATTGTGTTGGGATACTGCATCTTTTACAATATAAATCCAAATTCTGTGATTGGTCTAGAACACTCAGTTGGCTGAGGTAATTACATGCTTCTGGGCTGATCTGATTTTTCTCTTAGATGAAGGCCTTTTACTCACTTAATCCCTGTCCATCATCTAAGCTGCATATGTTTTATTACTATTATTGTTTTAAGGTATTTTATTGTTAAATGTTTCTCAATCAGAGCTTAATTAAGTAATTCAAGTGAAAATGAATTTATTAACACAGAGAAGCTGAACCCATGTTCTCCTTTAATTTATTTTACACATTGATTTAAGAGAAGTGAAGACTTCAGTCAGTCTCTATGTTCTAACCATTTTATTCACTTTTTTATTTTAAGGTTTTATTTGATATATTTTTTCCCTTTGTTTTATTGTATTATTGTAAACTGGACTGTTCTAGTGAAGAATGAGAATGTAAACAGTTAATGTTAATAAAAGGATTGCTTCATAAGTGTTCAAATTTAAACAGGAAGCACCATTAGCTGGAACGATGTTCCCTATATCTAACATGGTCACAGTGCTGTGTGTATGTGCGTGTGTGTGTTTCTGTGCAATCTGGGTTTCCGTTTGTGTGTGCTGCCATGTGCATGCCTGTTTGTTTCTATGCATGTGCATGTGCACCCCCTGCGTGCGTGTGTGTTTTTGTACCTGTTTACGTGTGGACGTGGCTGGCTGTGCAGAGGATCGAGGAGCTGGAGGCCACGCTGTATAGCGCTCTGCAGCAGGAGCAGCCGGCATGCCAGGCGGTGGCCGAGTCGCTGACAGACAGGCAGAGGGAGGAGCTGAGGCTAGCTGTGGACAAGTTGCGGCGTCAGATTCTCCGGCAGAGCCGGCAGTATGACAGTCAGATCTTACAGGAGCGCATGGAGCTCCTTCAGCAGGCCCAGCAGGTAAGGCTCAAACCAAACCCGGTCAGGTTGTCGAGTCCTGCCTGTCCTCAGTCTGACCCCTGATAACTGTCTGAAACCTCTGATGCCACCAGAGCTCTGGTGCTTTGAAAAAGATGCAGTATCCCTCTGTTTCCTCCCTGTAACTCCGTCTGAAATGGAAGAGCAAAACATGAGACAGACTCAAGTTTTTAATGAGTGACTGTGTGTGTTTCATTGTGAGTTTAGTAGCTTCACTCCTAGTAGTATTCTCCCACTCAAGCAGCACCTCTTTGTAGATTTACGCACTTTTGTGTTTGTTTTTGTGCACCTGTTATTCATTAACCACATCAACACCTTAGAGGTCATTCAAACCTGTTGTACTCAGACTCATTAGCATGACAAAATCTAACAAAGGAACACTTTGAACACTAATACATCATAAATGCACAATACTAACTCACTCTTAATGTCTAAACAAATAGGTCTGAAGCGCATAGATACTCGTTAAGTATAGATTCTACAGCCTGGGACAAAGAAGAGTGCATCACCTTCACTATTCAGTCTACTGTGTAATTGTTATAGATGCTCATTTCTATCCTGCACCTTTAAAATAAAGAAGAATAATTATATGTAATGATTTTAAATAGATTCATGTTAATATTTTAAGATATTTTGACCAGCTAACTGCTTTTGTCTTTGTGTTGCAGAGAATTAGAGAGTTGGAGGACAGGATTGACTTGCAAAAGAGACAAATAAAGGAAATAGAAGAAAAGGTACAAGTTCCGATTTTTTGAGGACACTTTCTGCCGTGGCTGGTGAAGCAAGTTGTGTGAAAGAATTTTGCAATTTTTAGTGTGGTTTTCTCAGGGCTTATGCCCCTATTATGGTCTATCATTTTGATGAGGCACTGCCACAAACTTTAATGTTTTTAACCCCTTAACTGTCACCCTCAAAATGTAATATAGTTATGGATGTAATTTTAGGGCAACTGACCTGCTGAAAAAGGAACCTTCACTAAAGTCTCAAGTCTTTGCCTTTCATATTTAAGGATGCATTTCATTTGGTCCAAATTTCTATTGACTCTGACCAACCTTTTTGTCCATGCATGGTGTTTTGGGGTAATGCACAGTGTTAGTTTTCTGCACATGTAAGGTTTTGCATGCAAGCCACCATAAAAATGCACCATACATTTTTCAGATTTAAATTTGAAACAAATGTTTAAAAATGTATCTAAATTCCTTTCCACTTTCCATATGCGTACCACTGTGTGTTAGTAATCCCAGTAAATGACATTAAAGTTTGTGGTTGTAACAGATTAAATATAAAATTATGTTCAAGGTGTGTAAAGATTTTTCTCAGGCACTGAAGCTGTTGTTCTGATGTTGTACCTATTTGACATCTTCTGTTCTTCTCTCTCCTCTTTGTCATCTTCCAAAAAAACCCAAATCCCCCTTTAGTTTTTGTTTCTTTTCCTATTTTTCTCTTTGGCATTTATTCTTTGGCCTTAATGGAGGTGACCATGGACACTCGTCAGGTAAAGACTCTGACCAGAATTTACTACATTCTAATTCTTAAAACATAGGAATTATGGTTAGAAAAGTAATTGTAAAACTTTCCTGTTTTTGTTTTTGTAGATATTGACTTGCTGTGGAGCAAAGCAAGGAATCAAAACTTAATTCTTTTTTATGTTTTGTTGACAGTTATAAACTTATGGCCTTTTTGATAATTGTGCACTTTGCAGAAGACCCCCCTACTTGGAATGCAAGCAGATTAGAAATTTTTATAACCGTATATACTTGAGAGAGAAAAGTGACATAGTTTATTATTACAATTTTGCAATCGTCTTTGAACTTGAAGCATTGGACTTCTTTGTGGGAAAAAAAAAAAAAAAACGGATCTATTGTGAGTTCTGAACATTTTACTGAAGTGGAGAAAGAATGCCCCAATGGAAAAGAAAAGCTGGGGGAGGAGAAGTGAAAGTTCAGGGACTGAATGTGGGGGGTGAACAGGCTGAGTGCCAAATGGACGCGAAGGATTCTTGTAATGAGTCTGTGGAGTTTCTATGGAAACAGGAGTACAACTAAGTCCACATATCAGACATTGAACTTACTGGAAGGGGAAGACTTTAAGAGGTGGAAAAGCACAATCAGGTTTGTATAAAAGTTTATTTGGTTTTCTTCTCAAGTCTTTAGATAACACAAGCAAAGACGTGTTAAATCTGACTACCGACTTTAATGTACAAACTAGTTAAGTATTTGCCAGACTTGCTGGGTGGATTTGCAGTCCTAAAGCACAGGATCAGATTTTTTATGTTTGCATCAGGTGAGTTCATGACATTATGGTGATGATTAAATGGGCTTAAGGCAATTCTGTGAACATGCGGCACTGTCCTAAAGATTTACGGATGTGTCCTGCACAGTGATAAAATAGGAGCTTTAGTAAGCAGAATGATGATTGGGAGATGGGGTAACCTGAGCGATACCTCTGCCCAACAACTTGCCAGCAAGCTGCTGACACGTTGAATAATAGATGGAAGATATTTTAAGTACATCAGTTTTTATGTCAGAAATGAACATTTCACTAATATAACAGAAAACCTCACTGACTTTGCCACTCTGCGTTTCTCAGCTCATGTGTCGCAAGTAAGCTTTGCTCAGAAGACAGAGCCTGATCTACAGAGGATCACATGACCCCATCGGTCAGAGCGGGTTCTAGAAGCAGCCGGGTTACTAGGAACTGACACGGACCTGCAAGTTCTGTATAACGACGGGGGAGGACTTGAAGCACAAAGCCAGTTCGGTCATCCTGAGGAACATGTGAGAACCCGAAGGAGATGGGATCCAGTAACACACCTGCTGCTATATGCTCACTTTTGACTGAGGAGGTATCACGTATCACACACACTCACAACTGCCTGCACCCTGTCATGTAAACACAATGTGTTCAGGAGATGTTACCCATATCTCAGATTTTTAAATTTAGAAAAGCCTTTAAAATTTTACTTTGAAAATTTGACTGAAAGGTGTGAATATGACATCATGTAAACGGCTGTTTTTTAATCACGTTGTTGGCATCAGAGAGCTGCAGAACTCCAAGAGGAACCTGCTGCCACGGCTTTGTCAGCTAACGACTGCTTCTGAGCTCTCAGCATGCAGCTCTCTCACAAACTGGACCAGACACTCCACATGCTCAGACAGGAAGTCAGGACGATGGTGAGTGTTCTAGAAAAAAAAAAACTCTTTGTGACTTTTTTGAAAATGTTGCTATAGAATTGTAATTCATTGCAGTAAGGAGTTGAAATGTTTGACAAAATTTCATTACATAGATCCAGCGTTGTAACATACCGCAGTCATGACTGGAAATTTAATCTGAAAGTACACACCTTAGGAATACTTGGTGTCATCTTTGTGGTTTGAGTAAACTTTGTGTTTTTTTTTATTTTTTTTCAATAATCTTTTGCATATTTAATCTTGCACTACTTTTGAGGATCAAGTTCAAGCATTGGTGGTGAGATATGTTTTTGGTAGATTGCAACCTAATTTATTTATTTTTAAGCAAACCACATTTTACTCTCAGAACTCTTTCATATCAAAGGAAACTGAAAAACCAAACAGGAGGTCAGTTAACTAGAAAAGATTAAATCAGTTTCAGTAACTTTGGTGTTAAGACTACGAACTGTTGGACCAGAGGGGATAAGATACAAAAAACCTCCTTAACAGGATTGGTTTTATTGATGGTGGCCACAGACAGTTTTCCCTCTTTATCTTTTCTATCTGTTTTTCTGCTAGTTTCACATTTGGTATGGTTCAGTGTTGCTACTAGGATAGGATTGAATATGATTCCACATCAGTACATGTATTGCTTGGAAAGGTTTGTCATGTTTCCCCAATACGATCTCAAGAACACAGATATGATTTCAGGAGACATTTAGAAAGCTGCAGATGGCCTTAACCTGTCAACATGACTGATGTCTTCTCCTTTTTGCAAGAAGGAACAGAATGAGTCGTACCAGAGCACTACAAAATGGCCTCCACCTGGTGTGAAAGTCCCAGACCAAACAATCAGCAAGAGATGTGTTAAGGTCTAAAAGCCCATTGTCCTGTGGTGGGTCCTCTACTCACTGCCTGGCAACATGAATCATGAACATAAACAATACTGGCATTTACCATTGAACAGCAGCATTGTGAGGTTTGCCACTGCGTAGGCAACGGCATCCTGGGTTCCTGTAGGTTTATGTTGATGCCCGACCTCATTTGATGAGAGTAAGCAGTCATTTCCTGCAGTACAGAGGGATATTACTGATCCTGAACCCAAATCCAATAAAACATGTCTGGTATATCAAGTCCAGTCTGTCCAATGCTACCAGTTCACAACTTGCACTTTCCATGAGCTCAGTAGCAACCAGGTCCAGATCAGGGAAGACAACCAGAACATTGTCTTTTGATTTTTTTTCTTTTTTTCTTTTCTTTCTTTTTGAGCAATGTGTTTTTATGATGGATGTTCCATCAGAGCTGGTGTATCTTGGGTAAATTGGAAATTCTCCAACATTAAATGCAGAAAAATGAAAATCACATTGGACATTCATGTGAGTTGTTCAGTCTTCAAATATTCTGTTTTTTGCAGCTGTTCAGAGTGAAACAGTGTCAGGGTAATATAAGCACAGATACTGCAAGTTCATGTGATCATATAGGGATTTATGTTGCCATGTTGCACCTACAAATGCACATGGAATCAAGATCCAATTAATACTAAAATATTTTGAAACAATTTACACAAACTTTTTTTTTAAAAACATGGCTATGGAAAGAATGTTATGAGCATACGCATGTTGGAAGAACAATTGTTGAGCTTTTCAATGAAAACAGATTAAAAACATGAAAAAATGTAATAATATTGGCTTGTGATGACTTGCAAAGTAAATATGTGAAGATGAACCTTGCTTTGATATTTTGTTCTTCTCTCTCTGTTCCTCGTCAGAGTCAAGAAAAGGAGCGAGAGGAGCATGCTTGGAGGGAGAGGCTGCAGCGCTGCCAGAGGCAGCTGAAGGCCAAAGACGAGGAGATGAGTCGACAGGCCCAGTACTTTGAGAGCTTTAAAATCAAGCTCCAGCAGAAGCTCAACCTGGCCCGTGACAGAGAGCAGAGTCTGCAGAATCGCATCTACAGTTTAGAAAAGCAGTTACTGGATGTGACTGTTAGCTGTGCTACAGGAATGGCAACAATCACAGCTGTCAGAATCACAGCTGGGACTGTAAAACACATGAATGAACCAGACAAGTTACAGTCTATGAGAGGAGAGGGGGAAGGAGAGGAGGAACACAAGGAAGAGAGGAAGAAACGGTCCCAGCCAAATGTGGGACCGTTGAGTAACGAAAGGACAAAGGTTGATGAGAGTAAGACAGACTCAGTCATAGAGGGAGGACGGGACAAGGAAACAAAACATACTTCCAAAGAGGCCAGACTGCAAAGCTTCATTATCAGCCTGCAGGAGGATCTCAAGGTACTGCTGGAGAGAGAGGAGGACGGGATGACTGAGCGGAGGAAACTGTTGGAGGAGCTGCAGGAGGCCCAGGAGAACAGCCACTTCCTGGGCTGCACAGTGGAGGAGATGAAGGCAGAGCTGCATCAACTAAGACAGTCAGAGAGCTCCATGATGGAGGAGGTGGAAGACCTGAGAAAGGAGAACCAGAGTCTCCAGGATATTCTCAGGGATGCAGCTAACTCCACGCCTGCGCTGTCATCTCTAAAATCTGAGGCAATGAGTACCGTTCCTGTAGTGGACTTGCCACGCTGCTGTCCAGATACACCGGTCAGGCCTCCGTCACCTGGGCTGGTGCTTGGACAATCTTCAGCAGGAAGCCTAGTAGGCGAGGTGTGTAAGCTTCAACTGACTTTATCAGAACTTCATGTCGCTATGTTGTTGAGATTAAAATTTTGTTTATAATGAAACTGAGAAAATTTAGACGGAGACAAAAAAGTGCTCATAATAATATAAAAACAGCTTCTTTACACCTCTAATGTACCGAGGAACCCAAAATATTAGTGAGCTTTTTAGGTTAAAACGAGTGAGATGAGAGCATAAAACTTTCCACAAGTCGATGAGCAACCTGGCGCTGGACAGCCACAGTCTTCCTATAGAAAATAATGCTCTGTTTCATTAGAATAGCTAACTGTTCATCTTATAAATAAAAAAAAATCAAACAAATTAAGCCAAAGTACATATTTAGAGATAAAAACAGATTGTTTTTGCTTAACTGTGAATGTTTCAGAAGGTTGTAAATCAGTACGTTTCTGATCTACACTTAGAAAATCATCTGGCAAAACCTATTCAGCTGGTTCACTTGGGAAAAAAAAAATATCACATCAATGTTTACCACCTATATTTTACTCAGATTTTTTTTCCTACACAAAAAATTCTTACAAGAAACGTGCTTCAGATAATTTTGAATACAGGAAAAAATTAATCAACTGCAAGATTATATACAAGATTATATTTTTTATTTGTTTGTTGGTAGAGCTGTTGCCTTGCAGCAAGAAGGTTCTGGGTTCAATTCCCAGCCCTGCATGGAGTTTGCATGTTCTCCCTGTGCATGCATGGGTTTCCTTCACAGTCCAAAAACATGACTGTCAGGTTAATTGGCCTCTCCAAATTGCCCCTAGGTGTGTGTATGCATAGTTGTTTGTCCTCTGCGACAGACTGGCAACCTGTCCAGGGTGAACCCCGCC